CTCCACACACACACACACACACACACACACACACACACACACACACACACACACACACACACACACACACACACACACACACAAAGACGATCGAGCATGCTCTGAGCTGTGCATGAACTGTTTTCTTGTGCACAGCAAGGCACAGTGCGGAGAAAAATAACATTTGTTTTTTGTGTTATGAAGTCAAAGGTGAGTGCAGTAGCTTCAGAAATGCGTTGTTGTTGGTTTTTTTGTTGCAATGATGATGATGATGATGATGATGATGATGATGATGATGATGATGATGATGTCGGCAATTTTACTGACGAGATGCTTCACTGTTGTTTTGTCTTGCTGTCCTCATTCATCATATACACCTGCTTGCCTGCACTGCAACTGTAGATCTAGTTTCGAGTCCTAATTGTATCAAATCGTTATTCTTTTTGTGAACGTTTTGGCGAATGATGTAAGTTGGTGGTTGGTTGAAGAGCGCCATTGGTAGGTCTCCTCCTTTTTCCCTTCTTTCCCTCTTTGGTTTCTGTCTATCTTGCTTCTTCTCAGCGCTCTAGGACCGTTTTTGTGCCAATGTTCTTCTTTTTACTCAACCTCGGACTGTATCTTGAAAACTACCTACATGTATTTCATGCTAAAAATGGTAACACCCCCACTGGGCAGTGCCACTGACTGTAGTGTCTTTAGGCCATTCCCAAAAGGAGGGGGGGGGCATTTCTCGTTCTTGTGCACAGTAGAATGGTAAATGCACTGATCTAACAATGTCATGTTCATTACTGTGCCTGAACTACTACAGGGAACTGCTGCTTTTTCTTTCCTAATCCTTACTATCGTCATTTTCCTCTACTTCTTTTGTTTGTCACTCTTGTGACCTGCTATTTCCGGGGTGCCTTGATAGTCAAAGCAGACCTTGTGCTGTTGAAGCTAGAGAGGTGAGCAGAGTAAGTCTTATTCCCTGTAAGGACTTCTCTGTTGACATCCACTCCTTGGCGCTCATAAGACCTTATGCAGTTGCGAGCGCCGTAAAACCTCTACTAAAACTGAAAATGGTAACGTTTACATAGAATTAAACTTAGTGCGACAAAGCAATTGCAAGGAATAACCATACAACTTGTCATCATCATCATTGCATTTTTCACCCTGCACCAGGGTATAGGCCACGGATAAACACTTTCCACTGTTCTCTATCCTGGGCTAGCCTCTTGATGTTATCATATGCCTTCCCACTTTTCTGGACATCAATTTTTGTAATTCTTCTCCAGGTTCCACGCAGCCTTCTCCCTGATCTTTTACCCTGTGGATTCCAATCCAACACTTTCTTTGTTAAAATGCAACTGCCTGACTTCCTGAGAGTATGACACGACTTGTAACAGTTGATATTACTCTCCTCCTTATGCAGTTGCGAGCGCCGTAAAACCTTACTAGGGGCTCTCGTGGCCTAGAGGTTAATGTGTTCACCTCTCATTTAAAGGTCTCGAGTTCGAGTCCGGGTAGTGGCCGAAAATGTTTCTTCTCTTAAATTGTCTCCTTTCACCTTCTTTCCTACTCTCTAGCAATGTTCGGTTGTCTGCTTTCGTCTCCACTTTGTGTCCTCACCTCCTTTGCCCCCTCCTCCTTGGCTCCTTCTCATTGCTGTCTTTCTGCCACACCCCTGATCTTCTGGTAGGAAAGATCTACACCTAGCCTTCTCGGACTACGGCGAAAAATCTCGGAGGTCCCGTTTCCAAGTTGCACACGTTAAAGATCACTTCTTGGTCTAAAATCGACAAGAGTAGGCTTCGGCTGCCACTCGGGCAAAATTCGGTGTGTCCCGCCCGCTCATATGACCTTATGCAGTTGCGAGCGCCGTAAAACACTTACCCAAAAAAAAACTTATTAAAACTAAACATTCCTCTCCCTCTAGCCTTCGAGAACAGGGAAGACTTTCTGGAGCGACACAAGACAGACCAGGGCCAGTTCATCCAGGGACTGAGCGTGCTGTTCCAAGAGCTCCCCACCATGGAGAGGCGCCGCCTCAAGCTACAGATCAGCCCCCACAACCCCCATGTGCCGCAGGAGAACTGGAGCATGAAGAACGCCTTCTCTTACTACGATCTGAGCTGTCGGAAACACGATTTTGAGGGTGGGTTACGGCTTTTTTTTTTTCTTTTTTTAGGTAAGTGTTTTACGGCGCTCGCAACTGCATAAGGTTATATGAGCGCGCGGGACACACCGCAACACTCTTGTGCATGCAGATGGTTCGAGGGTGCCACTGGTAGGACTTGTTCTTTCCCTCTATTGTTTCTGTCTACCTGTCTTGCTTTTTTTTTCGTTTTCTAAATGACAGTTATTACTAGGATAATGATCTTCTCTGTACTCAAGCAAACAAATAATTGGGAACGTTGGGAGTGTGTTGCAGACTACACATCAAACAAACAAAACAACGACCTGTTGTCTGTCGCGGACTGCATATTAAACAACAACCAAAAAAAACAGGAACCCCCACCCCTCAAACCAAGGCAGTGCTACTGACTAAAGTTGTCACTAGGCCAATCCCAAAGGGGGGACATAACATGTTCTTATCCACAGTAGAATTTTAATGGGCTGATTTATCAATGTCATGCTCATATTGTGCTGAAACAACATAGGGAGAACTGCTGCTTTTACTTTCCTCATCCTTGATATTGTCTTTTTTTCCTCTACTTCTTTTATATGTTTGTCACTCTCTTGTGAACTGCTATTTCCGGGGTGCCTTGATAGTCGAAGCAGACCTTGTGCTGTTGAGGCTAGAGAGATGAGCAAAGTAAGCCTAACTCCTCGCTTTGACTTCTCTGTTGACATATACCCCTTGGCGCTTATATGACCTTATGCAAATGCATGCACCGGCTTACTTAAACGAAACCACTAATTGCTGTGTGTTGCAGACTATACATCAAACAAAGAAATGGTCGCTTTTAAGCACAAGGGGGCTATCCCGAAAAATGCTGTTTTGAGAAAATCCAAGGTAAAGTTTTTGCCCTTTGTTCAGTTTCTTTAAAATACAAGGAACGTTTTCTCTATAACCAAACTAATATACACACCAATGAAACCAAACTTCTCCTATAGGTAGGGCAATACCCATTTTTGGTGAAGGTAAAGATTTCTGGAAACCTCCGAAATCTGGGTTAGCTCGCTTGTCCTCAAAAGCGACCAAATAATTGGGAATGTTGAGTGTGTGTTGCAGACTACACATCAGTGGGTGGTTGGCGGGTGCTCGGGTGTGGTTTGCTTCTTCTTTCCTATCAAACATCTATTGTCCTGATCTCCCCCTCTTCTGTTTTTATGTTTGTTACTCTCTTGTAACACCTCTAATCTTCTGGCGCTCATATGACCTTATGCAGTTGCGAGCGCTGTTAAACCTTTACTAAAACTAAAAGACTGCACATCAAACAAACAAATACTTGGGAATGTTGTGTGTTGTAGATTACACATCACGAACTTCAGTGTGTTGTAGACTACACATCAAACAAACAAATAATTGGGAATGATGTGTGTGTTTCAGACTACACATCAAACTAACAAATAATCGGGAATGTTGTGTGTGTTTCAGACTACACATTAAACTAACAAATACTTGGGATTGTTGTGTTTGTGTGTGTTACAGACTACACATCCAACAAACAAATACTTGGGATTGTTGTGTGTGTTACAGACTACACATCACAACCTGCTGTTTGTTGTAGACTACACATCACGACCTTCTGTGTGTTTCAGACTACACATCAAACAAACAAAACCACAACCTACTGTGTGTTGTAGACTACACATCACAACTTGCTGTGTGTTTCAGACTACACATCACGACCTTCTGTGTGTTTCAGACTACACATCGACGGGCGTCCAGATGCTGCTGCACGTGCTGACAGAGGTGGCGCTGAAGGAGGACGACTACAGCCCCACCACCCTGGAGGTGTCCACCGAGAGCCTTCACTGTGACCCCAAGGACACTGACCCTAGCCTGGACATCTTCCGCGTCCTGCTGCCCTCTCTCCTCCTCCTCTCCTTCCTGCCCTGCACCGCGGCTCTGGCTTACGACATGACCCTAGAGAGGGCCCATAACGTGGCTGTCAGTAACTGTAATTTTTTTTAACTTTTGTTGGAATTTTTACGTTCTACTGCCTGCTACTCCTTGGCTCCTTCTTACTGCTGTCTTTTAGCCACCCCCTTCTGTTTTGTAGGAATTTGTACGTTCCCCGTTCTACTGCCACTCCTTGGCTCCTTCTTACTGCTGTCTTTTTGCAACCCCTTCCTGTTTTGTTGGAATATTTACGTTCCCTTTCTACTGCTACTCTTTGGCTCCTTCTTACTGCTGTCTTTTAGCTACACACCTGATCTTCAAGTAGGAAAGATCTACCCCTAGCCTTCTCGGACAGAGACGAATAATCTCGGAGGTCCCGTGTGCTAAAATCGATAACAGTAGGCTTCAGCCGTCACCTGGGCAACTGAAAATGTTTAATGAATCCGGCGCACTCATATGACCTTATGCAGTTGCGAGCGCCGTAAAACTCTTACCAAAAAAAGAAAGACAGAGAGAACGTTCCCATACACAATTTTAATTTTGATAAGAGCTTTCTGGCACTTGCAACACAAATAGGTTATATGTGTCGATGTTACTAGAAAGTGAGATATACACAGGAGTAGGAGGAAGAGAAAATATTATAAGGACGATTTATATTAGCTAGGAAGGAAGGAGCAAATCACACCAGAGCACCTTTGTTTCTTCAGGGATGTTGGGGAGACACCAATAAGCAAACAAGCGTCTGGGGGCACCACAGGTAGACCCTTCATCTTTTCTTTTCCCTCTGGTAGTTCTGCCTGTCGTGCCGTATTATTTCGTTACTCTATATGACTGTTATTGTGTTGATATGTTTTTCCTTACTCACAAAAACAAAAAATCAAACACAAAAAAGCAAACTGTTGGTTGGAGGGCGCCAGAGGTAGGTCTTACTTCTTTTCTGTTCCTTCTGTTGTTTCTGTCTGTCTTGTCTTACTTTTTGGCTGCATTAAGATACGCTCATAGTGTCGTGCCACAATGTGTTTTTTACTCACACAAAAAGCCAACAAACAAACAAACAAACAAACAAATTAGCAAACAGTTGGGTGAAGGGAGCCACAGGAAGTTCCTACTTCTATTCTTTCCCTTTGTTGCTTCTGTCTGCTCTATCAGTTATTAGGCGGCTCGATCTATTTTTTTACCGATGTGCTCATCCCGACAAAAACGAACAAATAAACCAGCCAATTGGCGAACTGGTGGTTGAAGGGAGCCACTGGTAAGTCCTACATATTTCCTTCCCTCCATTGTCTCTGTCAGCTTAGTTGTTCTATTAGTCATAAGGTAGCCGACTGTTTAAGTGCCGATGTTTTATCCCTACTCAAATAAACAAATGAACAAACAGCTCCTTCTTTCTTATCAGACATATAATCGTCCTTTTCTCCCCTCCTTCTTTCCTATCAAACATCTAATCGTTCTTATCTCCCCTCCTTCTTTCCTATCAAACTTCTATCGTCCTTATCTCCCCTCCTTCTTTCTTATCAAACTTCTATCGTCCTTATCTCCCCTCCTTCTATTTTGTGTTTGTTACTCTCTTGTAACACTTCTAATCTACGGCCCTTATATGACCTTATTGTGTTGCGAGCGCCGTAAAACCTTACTAAAACAAACAAACAAACAAACAAACAAACAGCGTGTCTCAACACCGTGCCACAATAAGAACATTTGCGACGTCTGTTTGTCTGTCTGTCTGTCTGTCCCCAGATGTCCCTGGACATGATGGGCGTTCGGCGGGTGTCCTACGTGACGTCCTGGCTGCTGTTCGCCCTGGTGCAGCCCCTCCTGCTGACCCTGCTGTTCACCGTGGCCGTCTGCCTGCCCCAGGACCTGGGAGTGTTACGTCACTCGGACCCCAGGGTCGTCTTCTTGTTCTTCTTCCTCTACGGGCTGGCGTCTGTCACCTACACGCTGTTCATTAAGTCCCTCTTTGAGGACGGTAGGTGGTGATTCATTCATACAGGTCTCTCTCTCTCTCT